GCATAACAAATTCCTTGCCTATTGTCGCACCTCGGAGAACCTGAAACACTTCTTCTCTGTACGCTCCGTATCAGACAGAATGTGTGAAAAAATTGCTACCGCCTGCCACATTTTTAAAGGTATTTTTTTGAAATTTTTCTCAGAATCTCCTAAATAATCATCTCCTGCACCCCGAGTCGATGGGTAAGATCGGACTGCCCGCAGATAAACTACTTCCTTGCAGGCATCGATGGGGATGGGACAGGTCCAGTGCAACCAAGGGACCACAGAAACAAAGCTCCGAAGCAGTCGTACACCGAGCAAGGATCAAAACAGTTTCGGAGACAGCAACCCTCGAAAAGTGCACAAAATGGTGAACGTACGGGTTGATAAAACAATGACAGGTAATAAAAAGAAATGTTCGATTACCTTTATCTGATTCATTACAACTGCTGTGGCTGACGAGCCGCCACCGGAACCACGTAATAACTGCCTGTCCCGTCTGTTATCCAAATGCACCTTTACGGAGACGTGGTCGCGACTGCCATCTGAAAATAATATCCTACAAAATCCGCCCCATACAGTGAGCTCTCATCATTTACACCGGGCATGGGCAAACTCCTTTCATCACAGGTGGGCTTAATTTACAAACTTGCTTAAGCTCGGCGGCCACCCTTTAATAAAATCCAGGTAAAAACGCATAAGACTTGCCCATGTGATCATGCGTTTTTGCGCACACTTGACGCAATCAGATGGTTAATAGTATGAATGATTGTTGCTTTACAATTCAATACGTGTAAGCCGTTTGTGGCATCCATGGTGATGGGTGCCAAAATAAGGGAAGTGTGTAGTGTATTTAGAAGTGTATATAGAGAAGGAAAAATAGGAGAAAAACTGTAGGAAAGACAGTCGAGTTAAGACGTTTCGGTCCGTCAAGTCATATACGTCTTAGCTCAGCACCACGACTGGACCTTGTCAGTATGACGGTCGCAGTGTTCAGGGATAAGAAGGAAAGGAGGGAATATAAGAGGGAGGAAAAAGGAGGAAAAAGAAAAAAGAAAAGTGGGAAAAGAAACAGAGAAAAAAAAGGACGAAAAAAGAAAGAAAAAAAGAAGAAAAGAAGGAATGGAGTTTACCAGTTAAGTTTAGGGCGGTTGAGAAATATAAAAAAAAACTCATGCGCCTGTGTTTTGGTCTTTTCTTGCATGTGAGAGAGAGAGAAAAGGGAGTTGCACAGGTATGCTCTCGAAATTGTGCGTTTTGTATTTGTATAAAATGCAAAAACGCATAAAAAGAGATAAATTTTTTGCGCGAGATGTTTATTCAGCAAAAAAAAAAAGCTGGTTAATGTGAGCTCTGAGCTTGAACTTTCAATACAACATTGTTGAAATCTGGATTTATATCACTGACAGAGAGTCTCAAAGTAATTTTCATGTTGTCGCTTGTTAGTCTTGCGCGTATTTTAGTTTTATTTGTTTTCATGAGAGTGCAGAAGTATGGCGGAATACTGTTGGGAGTAAGTGATCTTGCCCTCCCCTTTCGAGAATGTTCCAGCGAGTAACCCGGATCTGGAGCGTAGATCGATTAGCGAAATAATAGACCAACAACACTGTACGCAAGCCATGTTTATGGTGTTATTTTATGGAGCAAATTGCCGTTACCTTTCAGATGTAGTGGGGTGATATTTTTTAATGCAGTCTGTGTTTCATCCCTTAGCTGTAAACACAGACCGGGCTATGCATGCGGTTAGGAGTGGGAATCGTCAGTACAGCCTCCTACCCGTCATGTATTGAAAAGACATGTAACTAATTTG